ATACCAATAATGCTGTTTTGAAAATGAAAGGTACCTTGCAGGATTTCCTCTCAAGATCGGAAAAAGACAAATGAGTGCCCTTATCACTTATAGTCAGTATAGTACTGGAGGTTCTAGAAATTCTATACTTAAGGGGCTGGGGATTTAGGTCAGCAGCACAGTGCCTGCCTGGCAAGTGCAAGGTCGTGAGTTCGATTCCCAGTACCAGGAAAAAAAACAAAAGAAACAAAAAAAAAAAGAAATTCTACACTTAAAAAAAGGAAAAAATATTCACAACAAAAAAGGAAGAAGTAAAATTTTCTTTTGTTTCAGATTACTTTATTTGTACAGGGGACTAAACCCAAGGCCTACACATGGTCTACATCCCAGCCCTTTTATTTTGATATAGGGTTTTGCTAAGTGGCTAAGTTCCCTGAGCTGGGCTCCCATTTGTGGTCCACCTGTTTCAGCCTCCCAGTGAGCTGAGATTATAGGTGTGTGCCACCACACCCAGTCAGATTACAAAGTTTTGTACCTAGAAAATTCTAAAGAATCCACTAACAATCTATTAGAATAAATAAATGAGCTCTACATGGTTGAATAATTCATTATCTATGCTGAAAACTGGTATTTTTCTATACACATGGAATGCCAAATCTGATAAAGCAATTAACGAAAAAAACTATTCATGGCAGCATCAAAGATAATTGTTGTTATGGTTTGTGTCTACAGGTCCCCCCAAATCCTCATATAGTCATGGGGCGGGCTTCTAGAGTTTATGATTGATCCATGATCCAATGCTGGGATTAAGGGTGTGAGTGCTAAATTCACCCTGGGGCGGATAGTTTGCATATGTAAGGGACAGGAAGAGGCTACTTGCCACTGCCACTCATCCCTTTTCCTCTGGCTACTGCCATCCTGCCTTGGAGCCAGCAGAGTATGGCCTGAAACCTCCACAGACCCTGAGCTAAATAAAACCTTTCCTTCCTTAGTTCTGGGTGTCAGGTATTTTGTCTCAGCAATGAGAGAAAAGTAACAAAGACAAAATTTGGTACCAGAGGAATGGGGTCCTTGCTGTGACTATACCTGACACTGTGGTTCAAGAGCCTTTGGAAATGGCTTGTGCGAAGTGTTTGGAAAGGTTTGGAGATGTCAGCTGAAAGAGGAGAGCTCGAATGCCTTTGGCTGTTCTCTACGGGAGATTCTGGTCAGAGCTCAGAAGACTAGAAAGCTGGTAGAAATCCTGCCAGTAAAGTTCCGGTTTGGGAGGTTTCTGCTATGGACTGCATTGGTTGTTGGACTCCAGATGATGTGTGTTATGGCTTGGCAGAAAGTTTGTCTGCATTTTGCTTGTGTCCACAGACTTTGCCTAAAACTGAGATTAAGGGCGAGGACTGATTAATCTGGCCGAAGAAATTTCCAGGCAGTCGATCCCCGGGGCAGTGTCACGGCTACTGTTGGGGGCTTTTAGTCAGATTTATGTTGAGAACCAAGAGTAAAGAGCCCAGCAGGATGATTTAAAATGTTGTGAGTTCAGCCAGAAGGGAAGCTCCAGTAAAGCTATAGATTGAGGAGATCTTGATTTCTGAGGAACAAGAGACTAGAAAAATGGCCTGAGGGCATCACAAGAAGCAAGTCTCTACCCTTTGCAGCCTCAAAACTGCAAAGGTGAAAGACCTTGCCTTGAGAAGAAAGCCACAGAGCGCCATGTCCCAGAATGGCAGCGGGGGCCACACCAGGTTCCAGAGTGGTGGCAGCATAGAGAATTTGCTCCTCAGAATTTGATTCAGAGTGCCCAATGATCCAGTCACTCGAGCCCCATGGCCGAGAGGGGAAAACTTGGCTATTGCTCCAGGTGGCAGCGGACCTTGGCATCACCCACATGGCACTGGTTTTAGATGCATACAGAACCCAAGAGTTGTGAGGTTAAAAAGGCTTCCACCTCGATTTCAGAAGGAGGCCTGGGAGGCCAGGCAGTGTGCCCGAGAGGGCAGCATGTGAAGCTGTGAATGTGAAGCGAAAGGTGCACTGGAGACATCAGAAGTTTGGAAAAGCCAGGAACGTCGACTGTCTGAGGAAAACTGCAAGGAGGGTGCAAAGTGGGCCCAAGAGAGAAGCTGTAGGAGCTGTAACCACCAGAAGTGCCATACGGGTGGACTCATGCAAGCCCTTTGGAGCTCACAATGTGCAACAGATTGCTTCAGATGCTGGACACAGAACTATAGGACATAATGTTAGCCCTGCTGGATGTTGGACTTACTTTGGTCCCAATGCTCTGTATCCCCTTGTTTGTACCTTTTGGAATGGTAAGGTTTATTTTGTGCCACTGAATGTTGGAAGTATTTAACTTTTCATTTGTACAGGGCCTCACAGCTGACAGTTTGCTTTACATCTGGGAGAAGACTTGGGACTTGGACTTTTCAGCAATGCTGAAACTGTTAGGACTTTGGCAACTCTTGCAGATGGACTAAATGCTGTTTGTATAAAGGCATGTGCATGAGCCTTTGTCGGGGAGGGGGTGGAATGTTATGGTTTATGTCTGCATGTCCCCCAAATCCTCATGCAGCCACGGGGCAGGCTTTTAGAGTTTATGACTGATCCATGATCCAATGCTGGGATTAAGGGTGTGAGTACTAAATTCACCCTGGAGCAGATAGTTTGCATATGTAAGGGACAGGAACAGGCTACTTGCCACTGCCACTCCTCCCTTTTGCTCTGGCTGCTTTTGCTATCTTCTGCCACTCAACAGTTGCCCTCTGCCATGTGCCATCCTGCCTTGGACCCAGCGGAGTATGGCCTGAAACCTCCACAGACCTTGAGGTAAATAAACCTTTCCTTACTTAATTCTGGGTGTTGGGTACTTTGTCTCAGCAAGGAGAGAAAAATAACCGAGACAATTATTTAGAAGTAAATTTAATAAAGAAACTGTGAATTATATAACTGTTATCAAACAGTTTTGGAGAGCAATTTGCTATAAGTTTGATTCATCTCTTCCATATGAAGGAAGATAAAGTAAAACACATAGTGTGAAGGCAAACATTAACTGTAAGGACATTTTTCCAGTATCATTTTAAAACCAAAGTGAGAAAAAACCCCAAGTACACAGAGAGAAGAACTAGTTAAATGAACATGACATATTACAGCCATAAAATGATAGAATACATATATTTTCTCTTAAAATGCATTTGAGATATTCTGAAACAGAAATTCAGTCACAACATTTTAATTGATGTAACTACTTAAAATATGTCTTGAAAAGAGATGATACATTATTTAATAAAAACTACAAATGTAGAAATATGGGTATAGAGATGGATAGAAAGACAAGACAGAAAAATAGACACCAAACAAAATAATGTCAGTACTCATTACTAAACATTAGGATTTAGGATATTGTTTCTTTTTTGCAACTGCTCTTCTAATTCCTATTAAATATACAAATAAAATTTAATAATCAGAAAGAGAACATCACTGATGTATGTATGGGATTAAGTAGAAGTTCATGTTGACAAGAATTACAGATGATTAAGACGTAAGAGATAGCTTTTGGAAGATATTCGAATACTGTAAAAATAAAAAAGTGAGCATTCCCTGAAATTTACCAAATTACCTTTTTCATTAACTTTTTGTCTGAATTAAGTGGAGGAATAATAAATTATCCTACACACAAAATATGGAAATACTATGTTATATTTCATGTACTGAAAAACACTGAAAAAACAAGCAAATCTAAAAATCATGTATATTGATATTTCATAGACCAAATTAGTCTGAATAAAACTACTTAAGATTACATTTGAAAGACAAAGACGTTCTGTCTTTTCATAGTAATCTTTTTTTACTTTAAAGAGAAAAGAACAAAAACAAAGACATAAAACAACATAAAAACAATAAAATCTACAGCATTTCAAAACAAGGTGACAGGAAGTTAAAAATGGCTGTTGTATTATATATTGTTATCTTCCAAGTGCTTACTCAGATAACCAGATATAGGCATGTGGTCTTGTGAAACTGTACTTGAATGTGGACAAAAAATTCACTTTCTACAAAACTTATGGAAATTGAATAGGTCAGCATATGTCTGGGTATAGTTAACGTTGCATATAAAATTAAAAAAGGATTTTTATCTGTTAGGATCTTAGAAAAGTTGCCTTTGGTTCTTATTGCAGTATGTTAATCTAAGTGAAGTGAGAATGAACGTTGTAGAAAACAATACCATGGTGCAGCAACCCCACAAACCTACCGCAAACAATGTACCACATTTAATAATGACAAAAGTTTTCTCTATCCCCTAACATCTGCACTTTTTCTCCAGGCCTTTACTTTCTTCCTCCCAAAAGTTAAATAGCAGATATCACTTGTCCTAAAGTAAAATTTATATTTCAGTGAAACTAGCATTACTAAAAAGTACAGTATTAAAGGCACTAGAATATTATTGAGCACAAAGCATCAATCTAGCCATGAGGAAATGTTTTGTAAAGTTTTCATATCAACAGAGCTCTCTCTTGAAACAGAGTCAGTGGTACCCTTTCCTTCTGGGCATATGCCAGATATGGGATTTTCCTTGATTGTGTGAGTTTGCTTTAAAGTCACTAAACATCAAGGGACAATGTAAAATAAGTCAGTATCATAGCAATTCATATTAAATATTTGCAGCATGCGTTCGGTAATTTCAAGTAGCCTTTTCAAGATCATTAAGCATATATCGCTCAAATGTAAGTATAAACCATATGTTGGACTGAATATAAGTGAAGCTTTTGGTAAGATTATACTTTGCACTCCAAGACACTATGCAATGTCTTGAATTTTCTAGAGGACACAGCACTCTCGAGGCACTCTGCAGTCATGAACCAGAAACCCTTAGCAAGTAATTTGTTAAATTCAAGGGTACAGCTAGGCATCTCTACAGTCAGAAAAAGAGCCATTACAAACAATTTGGGTGATTTTTGATAGGTTCTTGGCTATAAATATCTTTAATTCTACTACTCTCCAATAATATAAGTAATAAAACCCAAACTTACTTCTTTGGGACAAAATATTATTCCACATTCTAGCAGTGATTTTTTCTCTAACTCCAAAACATATGTACGAGGAACAACAGGCTTTTTGAAATGACCTACAAAGAGAGGAAAATGTACATATACAGTAGTCAGCTGCATATCTAAAACACCATTATTAATGCAAACATGTAAACTGAGTAATCTCATGAATGTATTCAAACAATAAAAAGCACTTACTGAAAAATCTGGGCAGGGTTGCTGCCTAAGGTTACTAGATAACCAGTCACTCTTAATACCAAGATTCTAAAAAGCAAAACTCATATCCAACCATAAAACATAAGTAAATCTCAGTAAATCTAAGACCAATTCATGTTAAAAAGAGTCCCAATTTCAATAGGCATACTCTGTCATATGGAGATGAACGTATAAAGGAATAGAAGACAAGGTTAAGTCATCGAACATATGGTACCAGAGGAGTCCGGACTACTTTTACAGTAAACATGGACTGGGAAAGACTCAGATCCGCTGGTGCTCCAAGGAGTTACGAAGAACACAAACATATATCCATCACTTCATTTATCCTCTTTGTTTGTGTGGTGAGAGATTTGAAATTTAGTCCCAGAAATTGTGAAATATACATTGCTATTACCTATGGTCATCATGCTATGAAATAAATCTGAGAAAACATATTTCTCAGGTAAAATAGTATCAATAATAAAACTTTATCCAAAAAATTTCTTGACAAAATGGAATCACTGTAGGAATGACGGCAATAGGTGTAGTTACTGAAACAACTGCCCCACAGTAATGCAGATTTCATAGTAAAAAATTATAACCACTTAAATAAATTCCTTAATGTTGTCCCAGAACCTCTGTTCTCATCCAGACAATTAGAAATCCTATTTTTCTCCCTAACGTATTCTCACTCATCCTAGGAACACTACTAATTTCAATAGTCCTTGTCTGGAAATAAACTTCAATATTTATTGCATCCTTTCTTCTAAGTCAATTTCACTCATCCTTGGTACAATGGTAAAACCTTTAAAAAACAATAAAAATTCATTCAGTATGTATAAATACCTTGTGAGTTGGAAGAAAAAGAGTATTATACAATACAGAACTGCAGGAAATAATATCCATCTAGAGTACCCACACACATGAAATAGATAATTTAAACCAAGGTTCATAAATAGATTAAAAAAAACAAAAACACAATATAGATTAGATAAATGATAGATCATAGATAGATAGACAGATTCAGTACATACTTCCAGATTACATAGTGTTCGTAACACTACACTGAACTACTTTAGCAGAAAACAAAAATTATAAATGTGGTCCTTGATCACATATAGCTTGCAATCTAGTAGGGTATAAACACATACACAGTTCCCTTGATCACAAGCAGAAGTCAGTTAGTGCTATAATAAAACTACACAATATGCTAATGTATCAAAGGTAAAAAGGAACAATGGATTTCAACCAGCTGGATACTGGTGGCTATTGGTAATAGGAAATCAGCAAAGCCTCTTTAAATACTAGGTTATTCTTATTTGCTTTGTTTGCACCATGTTTCCTCTTCACTACATATATTTTTGTTAGTGCATATTGCTTATACAGAATAATGGGTTTCATTTTTTCATTTTCATACATGTATGAGTATATAAAATACTTTGATGATATCATCCTTCTGCTTCAAAGCTTTTGAAGTGGAGGAGAAATGTGACTGGATCTTTGACGTAACAACACTATTCTCTAAAACAGGTGTGAGTAACAAGACTTGGAGACAGCAAGTTTCCTAGAGGGGAGGCTTGAGTCAGTGTGAAAGCAGAAGGAAAGAAAGAAAGGCTCCTCACAAAGTAGCTTTGAAGAATTACCAACAAGAGTTAGTCATCATAGAACAAAACACATGAGAGTACAGGGACACCTAGAATAAACTCTCAAGGCTAACAGTGTTTCAATATCTAGAATTACTTATATAAGCGAGTGCATTTTTCCACATGTATTTCTAGCTACATACTGTAATCTTTCCTGAGCAATTCCAGACTCCTAAAACATAGCACGCCTACCTAATCCTAGCCCTGCTCTTGCATTCCGCTAAGTACAAATTTCACTCCCAGCCACCTACCTCTTAGAGTCAAAAGCTAAAAGTTACTGGTAGTTTCTTCCCCTTTGCTAATGCCCACAGCCAGAGTCATCAAATCACAGCATGTCTAATTTTACAGCATGTACATAGCTTTGTACTCTCTTCCTTTCTATTCCCAGCGTCACTGCCTGAGCTGCCCGAGTCCAGGCTCTCATCACTTCTTAGTCGTACGTCCCTAATATCTAACTAGTCTCTGTATCTATGGTCTTAACCTCCTCATCCTGTCTTTCCCCCAGAACATTCCCAACTCTGCTCTAAAAGGGAAATTATTACAATGTGAGCCTAATAATATTTCCTGGATATAAATCCTTTAAGGGTACTACATAGTACTTCATCTCACAGATAAAATTCCACAAAAGGCCTTCGGTAACCTTTCACCTGCCCTTTTAGTCTAGTTCTTCTATGTTCTAGGATTCCTGGACTCCTTACTATACAGATTTCTCAAACTCTCGTTCTTTTAAGTATAATAGTAAATATAGTAATAAGTCATGCATTATCAGTGTTTCAACATTCAAGTTGATATATTTCTAGAAATAAAACCATGATGATTTATAGAATAGTAGAAAATCAAACACTGAGTCATTGAAAATACTTAAGAATAAATGTCCTTGACTTAAATTTTTAACAATTATGCCTTAGAACAATTTAAAACTGTTCTTTCTTTCGAATAATACAATACAGCATGAAATACGTACTGGATCTGCCCTTGAAAGTCATTGAAAACTCTAAGAAGTCTTTGAGATTAAACTCCACTGTGGCACGTGTTGCACCTTTGTTTTGTATTACAAATGGAATCATCTGGGTAGCACCAATATAGGTGCCACTGAATTTAAATACATTCTGAAATTTAAAAAGAAAAAATTATAAATAATGGTTTATTTAAATATATCTACTCAAATATGGACGTCATATTTATCAAGGAATTTATTAACTGCAAAACAGAACTGTATAAAAGAGTCACAATTTTCTTTCTCTCCCTCATCTTCTACATGTAATCAATATCAAATCTCATTAATTTTGCCCCCTCTTCACCTCTTACCCTTGCTGTAACTCTGTGAAGTGAGTAAACTATCAATTTTCGTTTAGTTTTTAGATTTTGACTTTGCTAAGCCTCCTCTCCACAACAGAGCCACTATTAAACTAATTGAGTGTCTGACCACTTTACTCCCTGTCTTGATATTTGCCAGTTCCCCCTCACCTACGGGACGATGCCCAAGCTCCTTAGCAAGGCTCGTAAAGCTCCTCACGATCTTGTCTGTGTCATGTTCCAGCTTCAATTAGCTCCACCCTCATACTAGCACTTAATATTTCATCAAGCGGCATGACCTGTCATTTCTAGCCAACATGCGATACTTCACCCTTCTGTGTTTTAGTCGTGGAGTTTCTTCTGTCAGGAAGGCCATTCCCTGACTAGCAACTGCCTGGTAAATTTTTATGTATCCATCACAGGCCAGTTAAATAAATCACAACTAATCACACACTTCTCAGAACTATTTCTGTTCCTTACAATTAGTAACCTTGTGACATCACATAATCTGCTTACACGTATGAATCTCCTATTAAAGATTCCAATTCACTTTTGCATGTAAGTACCTGTTTTATACCTATCTAATGAAAAGAATGGTTGCTTACTATATCTGAACTCTAGCTCATACACTAAGCATATGCCATGAAATTCTTAAGGTTCCATTTTATAACAGATATTATAGATACCTTACACATTCTTAATAAAAGCATTATGTACAACATTAAATGGAGACTTATTAACAATATTTTTGGATGAAAAAACTACATTAGGTTCAATCAGTTACTATTTGTTTCATTTAAAATATTAACACAAATTTTTATATGAAACTTTCAAAATCCTAAATGAATAATGAGAGTCTGGTGCTTTGTATATGTAAAACATTCACTCCTCTTGTCTCTTTACTCTCCTGCTATGTGCTCACTAGGATACAACTTCTTAATTGTGATACTATTCAAAATCAAAGTCCTTACTATGTTATTATCAGCAAAATTCACTTTGCAAAGTACATTTTGATGTTAGAGTATTGTTTGGAAAAGGCAGCTAGATCTAAAATCTAAAATAATATCAACATATTAATGAATATGTATTAATATAAAGTCCTGTAAATTGTTCAAATTAACTATAATATGCAAAACATGCCACTAATGACTTTAGACTGAAGGCATAAAGTAATAGAAGTTTCAATATTGTCTAATATTTTAAAATGCCATACTATTGCAGTGGAATAAAACACTCTGGATTCTATACAATTTAATCCCCAAGAATTATCATAGCCTTGAACAAGCTAACTTATTACCTATCAGTCTGTCTGGACAAGATAGACTTTCATCACTGACTAACAGGCAAGTTAGAAAATTATACCTTTAAGATAGACCCTAGAATTTTTGTGATGCCATTGCACCACACAATAGTCGTGAGGCAGCCAGCAGACCTCATAAGTCCTACAGTTTGCTCAATTCTGTATGTGTGTATAGTTCTGCTCAATTTAGTCCAGCACTGACATGGTGCTAGGTGTTGAAGAATGAGAGGAAGACAAAAAGGGACTGCAGGTAATCCAAAAGTAACATAACAACCACTATGATGGAGATGTTCCAACATTATAATATGTCCATAACATCTACATCATAAGAGGGAGCATACAGTTTTGCTTTGAAGTATCACAGGAAGTGTCTTTGTATACATGAAAATAATTCTTATTCTTGAAAGGCTGGCCAGGAAAAATTATAGTGTATTTGTGTGTATGTGTGTGTGTGTGTGTGTGTGTGTGTGTGTGTGTACTCTATCAATTTTAGAGCAAAATTTTGTTTACAGACAATAAGCCACAAACTAAATGTGACAGTAGTTCAGAAAATGCAAATCAAGACCACAATTAATCATTATTTTAAACTCGATTGACCAAAATTTACATCTGACAATGCAACTTGTAGAGCAATGGAATGTGGGGCAAAGTGAACTCAAAAAGGCATTTTAAAATTTATCTTGTAAAATTAAACATGCACATACTTTATACCTAAGTTTCCAAGATTTTTTTTCTTCTTCTTCTTTTTTTTCCGGTACTGGGAATTGAACTCATGACCTCACGCTTGCCAGGCAGGCGCTGTGCCGCTGAGCTAAATCCCCAGCCCCTCTTTATATCTCAGGAACTGTCACTCCTGTAGAGGTCCTTGAATATAAATAGCTACAGCTATATTTTTATATTAACAGAAAACAGAACTACCTAAGTGGATGGACAATGGATTGAGTATATAAATTATTGTATGTTTACACAAAAATTATTATATAGTAGTGACATTTAATAACATAGTTGCATAGAACTTAGAAAAATACAAGAACCATAGTATTCAATGGTAGCACATCAAAGGCTACACAGAACACGTCTTTATTATAAAGCTCAGAAAGGAACAAACTAATGAATGGTTAAGGCACTTACACATACAGTATATGATGTCATTCACAAGTGATTATCTCTATGGACAGGCTTGTGATGAAGCCTACAGATGATTTTAATGGTATTTGCAGTGTTCTGATATCTACGCTCAGTAGTGAATTTGTAAAGAATCATTCATTAGACTGTAGCATCATATATATTATGCATATTAATATTCATATGTCAAATTACTTCAGAGTAAAATGTTTAAAATGTAAATGGACTAATTTGTAATATATAAGAAATAAAATTCGGCACACCCATATACTGACCACACATACAGGTAACATACTCACCGGTCTGACTTCAATATCAGCCATTTCACCAGATCCACCAATTCTAAGGTCTAGGATATTTGCACGGTGAATAGCAACCTTATTTAGAAGAAATATAAAAGTTTGTAAGCACCACATTAAAATACAAACTTATCTAGAATTTATGTAACACTTCATAATTTAAATAACAGCAGCATAATATAAATGTACAAAATTTATTATGGCAGTTGCCTGCACATTTCTTGCGCTGTAGAACTGATACTTGTGCGAAGAGTGAGTGTGCATCCAATCAAAACCACCACAGGTGAGAAACCACCTAAGAAATCAAAGTGACTAATTCACTCTTCCAGAGAATCAGTGACACTATTCATAGGTAAAAATCAAATCACAAAATAGCACTTTCCATACTCATTTTGGAAGTCAGTATGCCAACTCGGGAGTCTTATTAAAATTGCTATGTTACTAATATATTATTCCTGTATTTTAAAGCATATAATACAAAACATTTGACTAAAATCATAAAGATCGTTAATTTAGCGATTCAAAAGATTTACATATTGACATGCTTTTCATTGATCAACCCCATATAAATTTCAACATCCATGGGTTGATTCTATTCACTGCCTCATCACTGTTTACTTATTGAAGACTTCTAGCTGTCTTAACATATTCACCACCCTAGCCTATTGTGTCCTTGACATTCTCATCCCCACAGGCGTAAAACTCGCCCTGCACACTGTGACCAATCACAAATACATAACATCTGCAGGCATACATGCATTTCTCTATCTGACAATCTCCTCTTATCCCTCCTTTCTCATTTGCAAAGACAAGAGTTCCAGAATATCATGTCACAGATGTTGATAAGCTTTGATATATAATGAGTCCCTGAGCAACCTCAATTCAAACTCTCTACTTTCACTTCCATTCAAAGTCTTCCAAAGCATATCATTCCACCTTTTCACTTAATAATACATTTGACTCATTTCCACTCCTCTAGGCCTTTCTTCGGACATTAGAAAAATTCACTGTCACCCCTAAGATAATCCTTAGCCTCCACAGTAGCAGGTACAGTATATGTGACTATCTCTGCATCACTCATCTCTATGTGGAGATCCCAAAGATGTCTCTGACTCAAACAAGCATTTCCATTTACAACTGCCATTCATCTTCTGATTTTTCCGCACTGATTCTCATCACTGTCTCACCACTGGTTCACCTCTCTCACTTATATGATCCTTTTCAACAAGCAAGACTTAAGTAATCATCTCCTAAATTTGCCTAAAAACTGCTGAGTCTGACTTCTTGAACAAGAATGTCATTTTTTTTTTGGTCTGGACATTGTCACTGGCCTCATAACTCTGTAATTACTTTTGAACCTCATTTACAGATCATTACCAAAATGATCTCCAAAAAATGTGAATAGTACTGTAAAATGCTCATGGTGAAAATACCTAGCTTGTAAGATGAAGGCTGCATTTCCTAATGTTGTTGACAAGACCCCATGTTACCTAAAATTAACAGAAGTCTCTACGCAAATCTTTGCCCCTATCATTTATGCAGTCTATAAATTAATCTAGTGATGATAAATGGCTTCTTTTTTTTTTTTTTTTTTTGTGGTACACAGGGATCGAACTCAGGACCTTGCACTTGCCAAGCAGGTGCTTGTACAGCTGAGCTGTATCCTCAGCCCTAAATGGCTTCTTACAGACGCCTTGCACCTGTCTCTCTCCTTTAAACCTAAGTATACGCTATTGATATTTCCTTGAATATTCTTTCTTCACCTCTTTTCTCAATTAATTCCTTTAAATCAGCCTGACTCTTTTTACTTTATGAAAAATAAAATGTGTAACGAAATAAGACAATAAAAATGGTTAATACATCATGTATTCTAATGCTAAAATTAGTTACCTGATTCTTAACTTCGTCTGTATTTTTTCTTTTAAATTATTAATATATTTATGATGCATAATAAATACATTAACCATGGGAATTGGCACCTGCACATATCACATCTTGATCCTCTTTTCTTCCCCTTCCCCTCCCCTTCCTCCCATCTTCTCCATTCCCAGATCCCACTGCATCGTCACAAAGTCTAGCTCTCTGTTTCCTAGTATCTACCTTTTATTTTGATCTTTAAATTATTTATATTTTGGGTTTCTCATATATGATGAACCATGTGATATTTAACATACTGTGTCTGACATTTCACCTAGCACTATGGACTTCAGGTGAATGTATTTTCCTCAAATGAGTCATCTGTGTCCTTATTAATGGATAAAGACACATTTTCTTTATCCAATCATCTGTTAGTGCGCATCATATAAGGGACTTCCAAGATTTAGCTATGATAAGCAACACCCTAATATTTCAAACCTAGATTATGTAACTTTTCTGCATCCCTTAGCCTGCTGTATTTCACCAGTCGCACTTATTATACTATAGTTTAACTGGTAGTTGATTTCTGTGAGTGTCCTACCAGATTATAAATTATTAGGGATTAAGAACCCTAATTACTCTGCATCCTTAGCATCTACAGCACAGATTGGAGTATGTTATGAATGTTATATGAGTGAATAAACAAAGTTCATTATTTTATAATGTTACAAAAAGAGTGCTAAAAAATAGAGCTATCTAAAATGTAGTGAAAAAAAAGAGTGCTAAAAAATAGAGCTATCTAAAATGTAGTGAAAATTAATTTTAGTAAAATCTCACTTTTATTTCCTCCAGAAAATTACGCAAAAAATTTTGACCAAGTCTCAAATAATTTAACACCATGTATAATTTATAAATTTCTTTCAACACATAGTTATTTAAAAAAATAAGTTACCATTCTCAGGTCATTTATTTTGGGGTCATGAAAATCAATGTTCATTAAATAAAGCTTCATTTTGCTAAATCACTTATTGTTACAGTAATTTAAAAAAATAAAACGCAGGCTATAAATAAGGCTGTTTATTTCTTGAATGATATTTACATATACAATATCTAATGTGAGAAAAAGTACACAGTTGATCACCAGATTGAACATTAAGTGTATTCCACTCCTTCAGTTTTATAATTGAGTAAAATTTTGTACACAATAGTCTCTCATGTTTTATTTGTCATGTATAAAGACGGCTTAGAGAAATACCTAAAATCAAGGTAATGTCTTTGCAATTATATAATTCCTTGAAAATATAGCTGTAAAATTTTTGTTATAAAATGTAGATCTTAACATTACATATAGTTTGCATACAATTCATAGAGTTATCAAAACTATTTAGAATTACTTACCATAACTGATCATTTTTCCTAAGCTATCTGATGCTATGAAAAACCCATCCTCCTTTCCATGACCAGTGAGGCTTTGTCAAGACTCAGAGCTACCAAGTGTCACTATAATTTTATGTGACAATGTCCCATATCGGTGGAAGGGATACATTTCAGCTTAGTAGAAATTTCCATTACCAACTTTCACCACAAACATTTTCTGCAAATACCCACCAAGTTTTGCTGTACCTAATTTTATATTATATGATTTAGATAAGATCGCTTATTTTTTAGATTTCTAAAATATTCCATACATCTGTAGAGCTAACTCAATTTCTACAAAAATATTAGAATATTTAAGATTACTTTTTAGTGTCATAACTTCACGATTCCTTCCCAATAGAGAACAATTAAATATTTTACAGACTCAAAAGAGCTGATAAAGGTTTGTAGCATAAAAACACCTATGGATAGACATACCTTTGCTTTTGTATCAAATTTTTCTGCAACAGTGGGTTTACAGGAGATGTGAAGAACAGTTATTCCCCCAAGTGGAATTATTCCTTGTGATGGGGTAATATTAATAATAGATAAAAGGCTCTGGTCACAAACCTGTAATTGAAAATTTGTAAAAATGCTACATAGCGTTTAAAATTAACGCTTCAAAGTTTTCATAGGAAAACATCCACACCACTACTTAGAGAGAATACCTGAACACAGGACATGAAGCGATTTTGTAATACTGTTTGAAAATATCAGAGTTTGAACCTACCACACGGAATTTCAACTCTCATTTAGCAAAAGGAACTTACAGTAGGACATTTTCTGATTCAAATAGGATGATAAAGTTTATTTCCTGCTGTATTCTCAAAATTGCAAAGCTTAAATGAATGAGATATATCTCCTAGAGAGGAGAAGATTCTGGATACAACTTTGATATCATGCCTTTCCCAGTTCCTAAAGACTAAAAGAATAGTTAGGGGCTGGGGATATAGCGCAGCGGCACAAGTGCCTGCTTGGCAAGCGCAAGGTCCTGAGTTCGATTCCCGGTACCAAAAAAAAGGGCAGCCTGAACTGTATAGCAAGACCCTGTCTCCAAAGACAAAAAAAAAAGAAATAGTGAGAAGTCAAGATGCAGAAGCAATCTTTCTTTCTTATCTCCTTAATAGAAGGCCTAATGTCTTAAGATATTTTGATTTTCAAAAATATTATAAGTAACTTACCAAGGCTTTATGTATAATTTGTTAGAGGTCAATTTAAATCTATTTACCATCCTTAAATCTAGAATAATTTAAAAGGCAACTGGTCAAAATATTTTACAAACAAGTAGGCAAATAGACTATTTAGGCAGGAATTAATTCTGAAGCAGTGAAGCAGAAAATGAATTTTTTCACTTACTCTGGCCAGAGTTGATTTGACCGGAAAAAGACATGCCAATGTAAAGCTTGAATGAAAGATCTCATGTGCTATCCTCCACTACCACTTATGGGGTGCGGGTCTCGATATATTTTTTCCTTAAAAAGATCTCAACACCATTTACTCCCTCACTTCCTTTAAATAAGGAGCAATGACTATAAATAGACTATCTTCAGAATGGCATCCAGGTAAGTATCATTTGATACCAGAACAGCACAGACCAGAGGGGGGAAATAAAGAGAAATGGATAAA